CAATTTTTCAATTTCTCAATTTTTCAATTGTCCGATTCGTCAAGTTTTCAATTCTTTGATTTTTCAATTTCTCAAATCTCCAATTTGTTAAATTTTCAATTTTCCAATTCTTCAAATCTTCAGTTCTTCAATTCCTCACGTTTATAAATCCTTGATCCTTGAATTCTTCAATTCTTCAATTCTTCAATTCTTTAATTTCTCAATTCTTCAATTCTTCAATTATTTAATTCCTCCATTCTTCACCTCTTCAATTTTTCATTTCCATTTTCATTTATTCCGTTCAACTAATAAAATTTTTAAATCTGCAGATCTTTTTACAGTCAAATTCCTAAACATTTAAAAAGGATAGTGAAATTCCCAAATGGAATTAATAAATGTCCAAACTCTCCTAATTGAACCTAACAACGTCCGACTTAAGCCAAAGAGCACACTCGAACCCGTCATCTGCCAACAATCGTCAAAAGTAAGTGAAATCCCGTAACGCGTGCCGCGAGCGGTAATGGATTGAACGTCCCGCGCAGTAGAGTCTGATTATCGAAACACAGGGCGTGCAGTATCCGGCGATTAATAAACCGCGACAGAAACCGTTGCAGACAATATCTATCGCGTGCACGTTATTACACAGCCACATATTGATTCTGACGAGTTGCTAATTATGCACGCCTAGACGCCTACCGCTACTCTTCGCTCTCCTCTTCAGCCTCTCCCTCGATTCCAGCTTCTCCAGCTGTTCGTTTATGAATATACATTACATCGAGCGATGAATTTTCCACCGAGATACCGGGCACGCGTCTAATTATGCGCCTCGCCCTATCGTACCCTAGCCCTGGCCACCGACTAATTATGATTAACATTTGCATAATTAGCAAGCCTTGTAAAACCTGCGTCTCAAACCCTTCTACCCTCTTTAAACTCGCCTGCTTTTCCCTAAGATTTATGCTTTTATTCTGCGGTCATTCCAGGTCACATCGATCACTTTGGACGTCACGATTTTATGAAAATATGATTTTTGAAGTGTGAGTTGAAATTTTGAAATTTGTTCATGATCGTTCCACTTAAATCCATCACTATCAGACGTCACCATCTGCGATTTTGCTCTAATCTAAATATGTTATAGTCCATGTGAAATTAGGGGGGGTTTAAGTCATCATTTTGCTGATTTCGAATTTGTTAAGAAATAACAAGCTATCAAAGTTTGCTATTTTTGCCTACCTTTGCGAAAATAGACTTTACTCATGAATTTTTTTCTCAGAAACTACTGAGCCGATTTAGCTAAATTCTTTTTTGTTTTAATCACAAAGAATGGGGCTATTTTAAAATATTTTTTTATCTTCGTCAATTTGTTATGAAATATCGGAAAATTTATACAAATGCTTTTCTTGTGTTTTTTTTTCAATGATGTATTGTTTCAATTTTTCGAAATTCCATAACAAATTGAGAGACTTAAAAAAAATATTTTAAAATAGCCCAATTCTTTGTGAATAAACCGAAAAAGAATGGAGCTAAATCGATTTAGTAGTTTCTCTGAAAAAAATTCGTGAGTGAAACCTTTTGGATTCATAATTTTGTATTTAGGAATTTCATATTATCATCACGAAAATCGATGAAAACGAAGATTGCCCATGAAGTTTTCCGGACACGTTTAGTTCCAATTACCCGCAACGATTCGATGAATCGACGAGCAATCGATCCGGTTTCTAGCCCCGATTCATAGCGGAGGACCACTCGAATGAAACGTTTCGCGCTCAGGATCGGAGCGCGGGCACTTTTAGCAGGCCAGTTTCCAACAGATGCAAATTCCTGCACAAGAGCTCGAGCCCCGGGAAATAGAATGGGAGTTAAACGCATAATCCGCGAACACTCGAGCGATATGCAAATCTTTCGAGCCACTTCATAAACAGGTACATCACTTAAACATTGTACGGTGTACAGTTATCGAGGATAATCTTACCGTCCCATTTCGCTAAACAATACGATTACATCCGCGTCTGTTCGCGGGTCTGACGCTTCAAATCATTTTCTATATTCGTAATTTGTACTTGGTTAGAATTACAGGGTGATTTAAGAAAAAAATTTTTGATATCACATATGTGAAAAATTTTGTTACACATGTGTGTGGAATTTGAGTAACTATTATTGTGCTTATGTATTTTTGTTTGTATGTCAAAAATCTTCCAAGTATCATAATTCTCTTTGTTAAGAGAATCAATCCGTACAATTCCAGAAGCCATGATACCCGTTAACACAAAAAATTAACCGTTTCAAAAAACTAACGATCAGGCTTTTTAATTAATTATTTTCCGTACACTTTTAATTCCGCAATCTTCTGGGCCCATAACCTGTTGAAGGCAAGGAGATCCGTGGACGAATAAAGTGTCGTAATTAATTATGTACAAAACAGAAAAACTATTTATTCAAGAACGATATAAAATATAATCAGAATTACGTGAGAGGAATATAAAGAGAACAAAATTGAATCGAAACATGCAAACACAAGAAGGAACAAATAATGATGATTAACATCGCTAGATGGAGACAAATGTTAATGCTAATTCGTGTATCGCTCTTATATTACTTTTATCTCCAATAAAAATTATATGCAGACAAGCAAGTTTTAGTGGTCGCATGTATGAGTAGAAATTTGGCTACACATATGGAATATGGCCACACATGTGCATATGTGGAAAATTGTATATGGTTGTTACATGTGTGTGTGCAAATATTTAAGTGACTATAATTGTGTTTATTTATGTATTTTTACTATTGTCTTGAAATTACATATGGAGACAGTAAACAATTTTTAGTTGTCACATGTGTATGTCAAAATTTATATGTCACATGTTACACATGTACATATGTGGAAATTTTTATACGGTTGTTACATATGTATGTAAACATTCAAATAGCTACTACTGTACTCTCGTTCCTATGTCAGAATTGTATATACAGAGTGACTCAACAGACATCTTTGGTTATTATACACATATGTGTAAAACTACATATGACTACTACATATGTATATAAACATTAAACTAGCTATTCCTACATGTATTCTTGTATTTGACTTTCTGTATAAAAATTGTATATAGAGGGTGTCCCAATAAACAGTTTTGACTGTCACACACATATGTGTAAAATTCGATATGGCTACACATATGTAAACCTATTACACATATGTAAAAACTCAACTACCTATTACATATGTACATGTTTCACTCTGATCAAGATATTTGTTAACATACTCATGAATCACAGAGTGGATTAGTCTTTTCTAAAACTTGCTACATGTATATTAAACTTTCATCAACATATATGTTGACATCTGACAAAAATCACATATGACTGACAGAACATAAAATTTTTTACCTACATCTGAATTATCAATTCAGAAAAATAGTGCCAATTATAAACAACCTTCAAAAGCAGATAATTGAAAGAACATACAACTCCATATGAAAAAAAATTTGCATTACTCACATGCACATACGTGGAGACATCAATCTGTTCGGTAAACTGTTACGATTCGCCGCGGTTATTCATTGGTAAAGTTAGATGCGGGGGTGGATAATTTAAGTGGTTCGAGCTTATCGCGTGGCGGACTTCTTATAGTGTTTCCCATGACTTATGTGTGCACATATCGGTCGGTGATCCAGCATTTTCGCGCCGCGTGTCTGTAAACCGTGCTATCGTGAACGGCAAGTTTATGAAATATCGTCGCAAACTTTTCGTGGATATTTGTGCACCTCTGTAACGATTTAAGGGAATTAATCGTTTAATGAAATTGATGGCCCGAACCGAACGGGCTCAAGAATTTTCTACAGAAATCACTGTTACGGTCCAATGTACGCTCGTTGCTTGATAAATCGATTTTGGATAAAAGGGTTTTGAGAGAGGGAGTTGTATAATTTGGGGGAGGCGAAGAAATATGTTGAGGTACGTTAAGTCATTTTTATGTTGATGTTATTTTGTGATGTTATTTTTTAAGTTGATGTTAAATCATTTTTGTGGAAGTTGATATTAAGACATTTTTATGTAAGCTGATGTTAAGTCATTTTTATGTAAGTTGAAATTAAGTCATTTTTATGTAAGTTGAGATTAAATCATTTTTGTGGAAGTTGATATTAAGACATTTTTATGTAAGTTGGTGTTAAGTCATTTTTATGTAAGTTGATATTAAGTTATTTTTATATAAGTTTACATTAAGTCATTTTTATGTAAGTTGACATTAAGTGATTTTTATGTGAGTTGACATTAAGTCATTTTTATATAAGTTGATATTAAGAGATTTTTATGTAAGTTGAGATTAAATCATTTTTTTGTAAGTTGATGTTAAGTCATTTTTATGTAAGTTGACATTAAGTCATTTTTATGTGAGTTGACATTAAGTCATTTTTATGTGAGTTGACATTAAATCATTTTTATGTAAGTTTACATTAAATCATTTTTACGTGAGTTGACATTAAATCATTTTTATGTAAGTTTACATTAAATCATTTTTATGTAAGTTTACATTAAATCATTTTTATGTAAGTTTACATTAAATCATTTTTATGTAAGTTTACATTAAATCATTTTTATGTAAGTTTACATTAAATCATTTTTATGTAAGTTTACATTAAATCATTTTTATGTAAGTTTACATTAAATCATTTTTATGTAAGTTTACATTAAATCATTTTTATGTAAGTTTACATTAAGTTATTTTTACGTGAGTTTATATTAAGTCATTTTTATGTAAGTTTACATTAAATCATTTTTATGTAAGTTTACATTAAATCATTTTTATGTAAGTTTACATTAAGTTATTTTTACGTGAGTTTACATTAAGTCATTTTTATGTAAGTTTACATTAAATCATTTTTACGTAAGTTGACATTAAGTCATATTTACGTAAGTTGACATTAAATCATTTTTACATAAATTGATGTAAAACATATGTGACATAGATCAACACAAAATATTTGACATAAAAAAGTATAAATGTGTTTCGCCAGACTTACCTTATTCTGAGACGATGATCTGCCAAAAATATCCGATCACTTGCAGCTGTGGTATCTGCAAAAATAAAATACTCGTTAATTTTATAAACTTGATAAACAACTCTTAATTTAATACTATAATGAAATTATCAGATACCCTAATAAATAATGATGTGATACTCCAAATTCGTCTGTAAAACTTGTAATTCGAAAATCTAAAATTATCAAACTCAATTACGACAATTTATAACCCAACAATTAATACCCGAAATAGTTATAATTGCTTGCCAAATTAATATCACAAATTGCATATTAGACATTCCCTTAAATATTAATAAAAGATCCTACTAAAATAAAAACTAAAATAGAAATCGTAATTTTGACGAACGACAGAGCAATCAAAGTGCAATCAATATAATACTGAATCGAATGAACTTGAATTTGCTATAGACGTTAGAAACAGGAGCTATAAGGGACATTTGTACTTTAATCTCCTACAAAGTACGGATTTCAATTTGCCTGTCTGAGAAAGCGCATCGATGCAATACTATTCTTAATTGGTTTCGATCGGTCCGATTCTCGTACTAATTAGTAACGACGACCTGTTAATGAGGTTTCTCGAGTCACAGCTGCATGGAAGGTTGGGGATGAAGGAAATACGTTTATGCCGGGTATCCTTGTACAGGAAAACTACGGCATGTTCCCACAATCCAGTCTAGTGCAAATGGGAATACGATTGTGGGCGACGGAAAATTAATTTAAGAAGCTTTCATCTACTAATGTATTCGAATTATTTTATTATTCAAATTTTTCAAAGTTATCAAGCTTTTCAAATTATTCAATTTGTCAATTTTTCAATTTTTTCATTCTTTGATTTTTCAATTTTTCAATTTTTTAATTTATTTAATTTTTTGATTTTTCAATTTTTCAAGTTTTCAATTTTTCAAGTTTTCAAGTTTTCAAGTTTTCAAGTTTTCAAGTTTTCAAGTTTCCAAGCTTTCAATTTTTCAATTTTTCAAGCTTTCAATTTTTCAAGTTTTCAAGTTTTCAAATTTTCAAGTTTTCAAGTTTTCAAGTTTTCAAGTTTTCAAGTTTTCAAGTTTTCAAGTTTTCAAGTTTTCAAGTTTTCAAGTTTTCAAGTTTTCAAGTTTTCAAGTTTTCAAGTTTTCAAGTTTTCAAGTTTTCAAGTTTTCAAGTTTTCAAGTTTTCAAGTTTTCAAGTTTTCAAGTTTTCAAATTTTCATGTTTTCAATTTTTCAATTATTTAATAAATCAATTACTGGATTATCAGATGAGTGAATTATTTGATTTCTCGATTACTTGATTATTTGATTGTTCGATAGTTCGATTGTTCGATTATTCAATTATTCCATCATTCAATTATTCAACTATTCAACTGTTCAATTATTCAATTACTCAATTATTCAATTATTCCATCATTCAATTATTCAATTATTCAATTATTCAATTATTCAATTATTCAATTATTCAATCCTTCGATCTGTTAAAATCCATTAACCAATCAAATTATATCAATTATTATAATTAACCAAATAATTCATTTATTCTCTTTATTCAAATAAATTGTACCTTTAAAATTGATACATTAAGATACTTGAAATTCCAGTATGAATTATACTTGAATATCAAAATGTCACATAATAAAATCTTGAAACAAAATGTTTGAATAATATGTACATCTTAACCTAAAGTCTGAACCCAAAAATATACAACGAAGTACGAAACAATTAACAGTATATTTAATTTATTCACTGAATCGTCCACTAAAAAGTCATCGAGTCGAGTCTCGGAGGTCGGAGTTCGAGACACTTGAAGCAAAAACGTGTCCGTTGTTTGACACGGCTGTTTGTTTCGCTAATTGCGAGCAAGTAATTACCAGTCAAGTCCACACTTGCCGGAATAATTCGAGAGGGAACTCGTTGTCCGTTTAATGCTAGCAAATGCGATCAGCCGTTTCAATTATCGAGGCGAAAAAGCTTGGTGAGCGGCTTTCTGCACATTAACGCCGGTAGAGAATTAATTATCCGATAGAACATAAACCGATTAACCGGCCGCTGACAAATAAAAAAACGCGACTTCTTGTTACGTTCGGTTTCATCTTTTACCGACAAATTCAGCGAGCTGTTAACTTTCTCGAAGGGAAAAAGAAAAGGAACTGCGTGCGTCAGCGCGTCGCTATTTACTATGTAAGTAATTTACGAGCGTCAAAATTTTATTCTACGTGAAATTAATTCGAAGTTTGCTGTTTTGCAAAAATAGGCTTCACTTACGAATTTTTTTCTTGGAAACTACTGAATCGATTTGGCTAAATTCTTTTTTATTTTATTCATGAAGAACTGGGCTATTTTAAAACATTTTTTTTAAATTCCGTCAATTTGTTGTGAAACTTTGAAAAATTTAAACAATACCTCATTGAAAAAAAAACGCAAAAAAAGAATTCGTTCAAGTTTTCCGATATTTTATAACAAATTGACGAAGTTAAAAAAAATATTTTAAACTAGCCCAATTCTTCGTGAATGAAACAGAAAAGAATTTAGCTAAATCGGTTCAGTAGTTTCCAAAATAAAAATTTGTAAGTGAAGTCTATTTTTGTAAAAGTGGGGAAAAGTTGCAAACTTTGAAGGCTTGTTATTTCTTAACAAATTCGAAACCAGCAAAATGATGACTTAAACCCCCCCTAATTTCACATGAACTATAACATATTTTGATTACAGCAAAATCGCAGATGGTGACGTCTGATAGTGATGGATTTAAGTGGACTGATCATGAACAAATTTCAAAATTTCAACTCACACTTCAAAAATCATAATTTCTCTGTATTAGACAATATAAAAATTTGAATGCCCCATACTTGAGAATCTAAACACCTCTAAACCCCTCCAAGACCAATCCCTCAATCACCAAAAACAATACTTATCGAAATACCCCAGCAATATTTGCATCAGTGTTCGAGTACACAAACCGAAACCACTAAAGAAAAGTCCCAGTTTCATAAACCCACTGTTCCAGCCGTAACGCGGTTATTAATGGAAGCTTGAGCATCAGCTCTGTAAAATTACGTGGACTACAAAATATTTTGATTAGAGCAAAATCGTGACGTCCAAATGTGATCGATATCGTGGAATAACACGTATGTAATAAATCAGAATTAACAAACCGGTGGAAATTTGTAGGGTTCGAAGCATAACACGAACGATACTCAATTGAAAAGTTTCGACAACTATTTGGCTTCCGCGCCGCTGTAACTTGAAGCACGATCGTGATTTCTCTTTTCTGAAAGCCACGGTCTGGCTTTGCGACCGTTGCCAAAGGGTCGTTTATTCTCTCGATTCTTTTTTTCTTTCTCCTGTTTTCGTTCTTTTTCGACGGAAGTAAACGAAACACGTAATAAGAAGCTTTCCTCGTGCAGCTTAACGCCCTCACACGTTGCAAGCTTTTCCACGCTGCACACTGGCGTAGTTACTCGGGGATCTTGCTAATTAACCAGAAAAGCAACCCCACATTACTCTACGAGAAAACTAGTAATTATGCGTTAAATCACTACTCGGAAAATCACCACTAATCATTTCATTCATATTTACTTAAACACAGAAAATTTTATTTAAATTCCACAATATTTATTTATTAGAATTATTTAAATTACAAAAATTGCAAAAATGCTAGGTGGAAATATTTGAAGGTCTTCAAACTTTACAAAAAAAAACGTAAAAAATTCTAAAAATTTGTAGTAATCCTAATTCACATCACCTATACAAAATATTTAATTAAAAACCCACTTCAAATTATAATATTAAACCAAATTATCACTTTTGGCGCCAAAAGTCTTATGCAACAACATAAGACGTCCCCGACGCGACAAAAGCGTTTCTGTCGGTCTTTTTCCTTTTACCGCGCACATGGGGGATCCGTAATTGCTGGAAAGTTTGATTGCTTCGAATCAACGAAGAAATTGATCGGACAGATCATCTGGGAGCCGGATCCGGGTGCAACGACGTCGGCTTTCTTCCAGACTTTCAAACTTAATAAGCTACATGATAGCCCTAGGACTCTGACTAGTTGACGATGACTCATTTTCAGCGAACGACTTCTCAATGTATTGTGGACATTCTTCTTTGCTGGCGTAACACGTGTCGGCATAGAAAGTCTAATGTAGTCATCGGTGACCCTTGCGTTATTTAATTAATTACGCGGTGACGCGGTTGAAATTTCATTTGGTCTTTTGGATTAAGTTTACTGAACATTTTTTATGAACATCTTTTAAGATGTTCTGTAAGGAAATTTTTCAAATTGTTTCTATAATGAAATTTTTCAAATTGTTTCTATAATGACATTTTTTATAAACTGTTCCTGTAATGACATTTTTTATAAACTGTTCCTATAATGACATTTTTTACAAATTGTTCCTGTAATGACATTTTTTACAAACTGTACCTATCATGACATTTTTCATAAACTGTTTCTATAATGACATTTTTACAAACTGTTCCTGTAATGACATTTTTTACAAACTGTTCCTATTATGATATTTTTTATAAATTGTTCCTATAATGACATTTTTTAACCGACTTCGAAAAAGGAGGAGGTTACTCAATTCGATCAGTATTTTTTTTTTCTATGTTTTACAAACTGTTCCTATAATGAAATTTCCCAAGTTGTCTTAATAATGAAGTTTCTCAAATTGTCTCTATAATGAAATTTTTTAAATTGTCTTTATAATGAAGTTTCTCAAATTGTCCCTGTAATGAAATTTCCTAAATTGTCTCTATAATTAAGTTTCCCAAATTGTCTCTATAATGAAGTTTCCCAAATTGTCTCTATAATGAAATTTTTTTAATTAACCCTATAATGAAATTTTTTAAATTGTCTTTATAATGAAGTTTCTCAAATTGTCCCTGTAATGAAATTTCCTAAATTGTCTCTATAATTAAGTTTCCTAAATTGTCTCTATAATGAAGTTTCCCAAATTGTCTCTATAATGAAGTTTCCCAAATTGTTCTTATAATGAAGTTTTCCAAATTGTCCCTATAATAAAACCTTCCAAGTTGTCCTATAATGA